ATATATATATATATATATATATATATATATATATATATATATATATATATATATATATATATATATATATATATATATATATAGTTAAAAATATTTACAATTTTCCCAAGTGTATATAACTCCTACTTTAAGACAATATCAGAATTCAGCACATCCTTTCAGTATTATCTTTGCTTGAACTGCTGATCTGATGCTGTTCATATGAATGAGCTGCTCCCGATCAGGTTTGGTGTAGCAGAACTGTTGCTATGACAACAACTTTCAGATCAGTTTTGAAGAACGAAACGATCCTGGATCATGTCCAATCATCAATAACCAAATCCAGCTAACTGAGTAATCCACGTATGAAGAACAGAGCCCAGTTGTGTCTTTACACTGTTTCTGGTTACATTTAGAATTAATTTCTGTTATTTATTTATATAATTGCACAATAACAATAATACCTTTATTCATTTATAATCATTTGTTTGTATATATATATATTATAGGTGGGCATAGATACATTTTTTAATCTAGATTAATCTCACTGTAATCTCAGAATTAATCTAGTTTAAAATGGCTCATTTGAGTTCTGCTGAAGGCATTCAGGATATGTGTGCGACCTAAATAATAAGTCTTTGAGGGCGGGTTTCTCAAGCCAGGGGGTGCATTAGACCAGGGCTCATCTCCTGTGTCTGAATGCATCACCAGCTGCTGGAGGAACTGTTCCACTGTGATAATTGGTGATGAAAATAAATGATGTTCAATAAGACGTGCTTGTGTTTACTCACTGTCTGTGTTTACAGCAGCACACACTCACCCTGGCGTCGGTGACCTTGAACTCTCTCAGGATGTACTGCGGCATGTTGTATTCTGCCATGGGGTCCACCACAAAGTACTGGTATCGAGCCGAGCGCTCCGCAGGCCAGTACTGATGGCACTTCTCCTGTACACACACACACACACACACACACACACAGATATAAGCGTGGGCAGTGTGTGAGGGTCAGGTACAGCAGCGGCGTCACTCACCCTCCCCATCTCCCGCAGTTTGGTCAGCATCACCACGATGGTGGAGTTGTGCTCCCACAGCATCCTCCAGAAGTCCTCTGTGGTCTCCGCCAGCGGCCCCTGGGTGGCGATATATGCCCTCTGCTGCTGCACACACACACACACACACGCACACGCACACGCACACGCACGCACACACACACACACACACACACACACACACACACACACACACACACACACACACACACACACACACACACAGACAGACACACACAGACACACACACACACACACACACACACACACACACACACACACAGACACACACAGACAGACACACACAGACAGACACACACACACACACACACACACACACACACACACACAGACAGACACACACAGACAGACAGACACACACAGACAGACAGACACACACACACACACACACACACAAACACACACACACCCACACCCACACACACCCACACACACCCACACACACACACACACACACAGACTTCAGACCCCAGAGCTAGCACTGCTTTTAGGACACTAAGGTGTTGTTATGTGGTTGCTAGGCAGTTGCTAGTATGCACAGATTGTGTTGCTAGGCTGTTGTTATTTTGTGTTTGAACAATGTTGCTTGCTATTTGGGTGGTTGCTAAGGTGTTGCTATGTGACTGTATGTCAGCTTCTGATCTGTGTAGTGGATGATGCTCTGGTGGTGTCTAGATATATAAACTGTAAATTATAGAGAGTTGCTAGGCAGTTATTAAGGTGTGCTGGGTGGTTGCTAAGGTGTTGCCATGTAATGCTTGGTGGTTGATGCTCTAGTGGTTTCTAGGGTGTCGATAGACAGTTGTTATGGTGTGCTGGGTGGTTGCTAAGGTGTTGCTATGTAATTACATGTTAGTTTTTGTTTTGTGGTTGGTGGTTGATGCTCTGGTGGTTTATAGGGGGTTGCTAGGTGGTTGTTATGGTGTGCTGGGCGGTTGCCAAGTTATTGCCACATAATGCTTGGGGGTTTCTAGGGTGTTGCTAGGCAGTTCTTATGTTGTGTTGTGTTGTTGCAACAATGTTGCTAGTGATTTCGGCGGTTGCTAAAGTGTTGTGAGTCAGTTGCAAGGGTGTTGCTAAGGTGCTCCCATTCATAGTGAGGGCGTTAGTTTGGTGTTGCTATGCAGTAGTCATGGTGTTCTGGCTGATAACTGTGTGCAGAGCTGTGTAGTAATGCATCATATGTAATCTGGATTATTTAATCAGACTCCAAATTCATCCCAGTAATCAGACTTCCCAGATTGCAGCATCTGTTGTGCAGCGCTTCCATGACCTTTACCTTCTATTCTTCATAATAGTGCTTCATCCTGCTTCACTATATGGGACATACCACAATTTAAATGCAGTTACCATGTTATCACGAAGGAGTAATCAGAGGTGTAATTATCATCATTATTATTAACTGCACATTCTGTCATGTCCTTAATCTGGACTCAGCAACTGGCTGTGTGTTTCTGGAGGCTGTAGAGCAGCTCTAAACACACCACGGTCCTTCAGCTCAGTGTGAGGTTCATTATCAAACTAACTGGACTGCAGCGGTGTGTGTGTGTGCGTGTGTGTGCGTGTGTGTGTGTCGCTCATGTTATATCCTCACTGACGCTGTGTTTACAGTATACTGCACCTGTATCCGTCGATGAAGCTGGCGTTGATGTAGTCGGACCCTTCCAGGCCTCTGATTGGCTGCAGACACACACGCGTGGTTTCGTACGGCATGATGTTGACCAGCCGGTTCTTGAACTTGTTGCAGGGCAGATTAGCGCTCACGAACCTGGACGTGTGTGCTTTAGAGTTGGCCAGACGCTGACGTAGAACACACACACACACACATTGAGAATGAACAGCATGTGGCACACACACTTCACCTCTGCATCAGAGATTTACATTTACATTTAGATTCGAACCCATGACCTTGTGTTGCAGGTGCTGTTTCCAGCCAAAGATGTGAATTAGATTTATGCAAGACTGGAATATCAGATAAACACCAGTGAATAGATCAGCGTCTCCATCAATACATCCCCTCCTCAGCTCCCGCACAGGTGTGTGTGTGCAGGTGTGTTTCTAAACTCGTGCACATCTCGGTGTTTTGCTGGACTGTTGTTTATGTGCTGTTCAGGACTATGGGTGTATGGAAACACAGTCTGCCAGATGATGGTGATCTCCATAATCAAGGCGGCGGTGTGCGGTTGTGCTGTACCTTGAACTCCAGCTCCATCCCGCTGACGTGTTCTCCAGCCTCGGTCTGTGTGAGCGTCTGTATGTAGGCGTAGAGGCTCCGCGCCGCCACCTCCGTGTTCCCGCAGGCCACGGCCTCCAGCAGCGCCTCGTGGATGAAGCCGTACTGATCCTCCGTCTGCACCATGTAGTTCCGCTGCGAGCGCATCAGGGTGACGTGACCGTACACATCCACCGCTCGCTCCTGACGCAGACGCTCCAGCATAGCGTCGATCACGATGAAGCAGCCGGTGCGGCCCACGCCAGCGCTGACACACACACACACACACACACACACACACACACACACACACACACACACACACACACCTGCAGTGGACGATGACGGGTCCGGCGTCCGGTGGGTTGCAGGCCTTGACTCTGCGCAGGAATGCCAGGAATGGAGTGGGATATTCGGGAACGCCGTGATCAGGCCAGGCGGTGAACTGGAACTGACGGACCTCCCTGCGCTCATTAGAGCCGTTCTGGAGGATCACAGAGAATGAGGATCAAACACACACACTACACACACACACACACACACACACATACACACACACACACACACACACACACACTCACACACACACGGCCCGATCCAGACTCACACTGAACTACAAGCTC